CGCTCTTCGGTGAGCATCTGAGCACTTTGTCAGGCCAATTCCTATTCAGAATAAAAGCTACAGAAATAGCAACACATAAAAGTGGCCAATTTTTTGCCTGAACTGAACTCTTCCTGTTCAGCAAGGTAAACAAGGAGCTCCTTCCCAAGCCCCAGCAGAGCAGACACCCACAGAGCCATCGATGCAGCACCGGCGACCCGTGAGCACCCTTCCAGCATTAGCACACGCAGAGAGCCTCTTGCCGGAGGGGCGAACCCGGTCTGCGCTCTTTTCAGCTGGAAGTGGAGGGAAGCACGGAGGGAGGGAGGGAGGGAGCGAGGGAGGAAAGGAGGTGGCTGCTGGGTGGGAGGTGGGGGGCAAGACCCTCTGTGTCCTCGGCCCTGCCGCACACTGTGGGGGGAGCAGGGGCTGGACTCACCAGCACGTGTACGCACTCCACGGCAGAGGCGTTCACCCACCGGGCTTCGAACGTCCTGTCCGTCCCGAAGTGGCACTCCAGAGCTGTCTCCTGGGAGGGAGAAGACAAGGGCAGAACGGCTGCAACAATCATTGTGTGCAGCTCTCTGACTCAGCCAACCCATACGGCAGGCGCCGCGTCTCAAGGTGTTTCTGCCATCAACACCTGAGCTGTGTTTGAAGTCAAACAGGAGACCAGAACCCAATACCGTAAATGGGGCTGGCGTCTGTGCCTAATTAATCCCTCTCTGTTAAACCCATACATACACCTGCTGCAGGCTGAGCATCGCACACGGAGCCAAGCCCTGCCCCTTGCTCTCGCCCAGCGTGCTGCTGTCAAGCGTCACAACCGGCCGTGGGGCAGCCGCTCCTGGAGCTGTGGGCATGTGGCACATGCAGAGCAGGAGACGTGCCTGACTCACAGCACGCACAGAGCAGGAGACGTGCCCGACCCATGGCACGCAGACCAGGAGAGCCTGGCTGGGCTATGCTCTCACGACCCCTGCCAGTGGGGTACGGGGGTAAGGGGGTTCCTCTGGACCAGGGGTGTTTGCAGCTCATGCTGCAATGCAGACCGAGAGCCAACATGGTCCCAAGCCACCTCATCCAAACCAGACCAAACCAGTCTGTGATGTGGGCTCAAAGCCACCTTCCTTCTCCTCCCAACAACTGCACAGAGCAAATCTCTAATTCAAATGAGGACCCAGCTGGGAGTACGTTCAAAGGCAGATTTTCTGTGCTGTTTCCCTGATAACACAAGGATGATATCCTGCCCCGAGTTACCGCTGTGGCCCCATCCTGCAGCAAAAGTCCTGTCTCCAAGCAGGTTGATGCTCCACCACTACTGAGGTCTAACTACTCTTTGAAAACTGATGGATCTGATAAAAGACATGAAAGAAAGTGCCAGACTCCTGGCAGGCAGCTGCCGGCGGGTGAACGCACACGCGGCTGCGAGGGGAAAGCTGGAGTCTCCTCCCGTGCATCGCTTCTGCTCTGCGGGCTGGCCCGTGCCCCTCGGCCCTGCCTGGGCAGCCCCCCGCACAGCAGAGGAGTCGGGGCCCACGCCTCCGACGCGCCGAGATCCGGCAGCGCTCGCCCGCCC